TTGCTAAAGTGGAGAACTGAGAACTAGCTAAAGAGCCAAAGTGTACATCTTTCTTTTTTCTTCTCCCATGCTAGCCAAAAAATGATGGAGTTTTTTGCAATGGCTTTAGTATGACAGAAAAGCATCTTAACAGGCTATCACTAAGCTTGGTAGTTCTCAGTATGTAGGAATGGACCAAGAAAATAATGGCCACCACATTCAATCTATTACTCTATGATGCTTACATATAACTGCTAAAGTTGAGTTATAGCCTTATTTTGGCACCTAATTGCCATTATCAGGTGTTTTCACAGCATGTATAACAGTAATATTATTCAGTTCTTCCACCACATATATTTGTGGGGAAATAACAAAAAGGCAAACTACATATATTATTTACATTTCATAAGTTACAGTGTAATTTCTGGTCGCTAAATGGCAGCACAAGTTGTTTTTATATAACAACCATTTGTGACTTTTCATTGCACAAACATGATACCTGCCAAAACAATTTCAGTGAAAATAAAGAAAGAAAGAATAATCTAAATTAATATTCATGGTATCATGTATTTATGTAACTAACAGATTTATGTAAATGATATTGATGTCTGAGTTTAAAAACACCAGTTACTTAGTTATCAAACAATACATTATATAGCAGTCTAATTTCCTTAAAATTTTCAATGGGGCTGAGCCTAGCAGCTGTGTATGTTTATGTGGTATCATACTTTAAGGCCTGTGATCTGTATGATGTCCTCCCTATTAATCAACATAACCCTAGCATGTAGTGGAATCAATTGTATGCACATGCAGTGAGTTGGGGTGAAGTTGGAAAGCATGGGTTCTGAAAATATGCTCTTAATGTCAGTCCAGTGCTCCAGGGTACTTGTACTATCCTGGAGGAACCATTCCAGCTTTACTGACAAAACTGATATGATATTAACAATATATATATATATATATTACCACTGAATTATAAAAATAAAACAAATGTTCACTTATCAACCTACTTCAATGAAATTGTTTAAAAAAAAAGGGGGAAACAAGTAATAAAAATTTGTTTAGCAAAAATTAAGTATGATGTAGGGATGGCATGCCAAAAAGTACAGAAACAAGGTAGGGATGAATGCATAAAACCATACAAAAATCACTATATAAGTAACCAAATTTTTCCAATAATAACTTTTATCTACAACTAAATATTGAATTCCTGTCAGTTGCACGAATTCAGGTTTGAATAAATGCATTTAAACTGAATAGCACTATACAGTCTTACAGTGGCTTATAACCATAAACTTGTAAGATGGACTCAGTACTTACTGGCTACTTGTGTAGTGATTTTTGTATGGTTTTATGCATTCATCCCTACCTTGTTTCTGTACTTTTTGGCATTGCTACCCCTACAACATACTTAATTTTTGCAAGAATTTGTTTTATTACTTGTGAAGATTGTAAATTTTCACAATATATTTTCTT